GATGCTGCATCAGAGTAGGTTACTCTTCTTCCTTCTGCATCCTCCTCAGTCCTGGGAAATTCTTCTTCCCCGTTAACTAAACCTGTCATCCTCTTCCTTCTCCTTGCTTATGGGTACACATCCAACAAGTAAGCTTTCCACTGCGGGTTTTTGTATTTATTTCTTTTGCTGTTGCAATGAGCTGTACTCGTCTGACAAATATAAGATGGATCCTTATATTTTTCTTTAAGAGTTGCATGTGTACATGTGTTGTTTTCCTGGAAAGGCCATCGGCTTCCAGGATATATTTCTTTTCAACCTTCCCCCAATCTAACATGCTGCCACCTACTTGCCTCAGAAATGGACATACATCACTAAGCTTCACTGTGCCGCCTCCTACTAAGTCACACAAAAGAGGGCTCTGTCTTTATTCAAAGGATGTTAAGTAGCAACATGATGTAATAGGAGAAGTTGGACTTAAGGTCCTAGGGCCTCACTCCCAAATGGGTACAGGCAGGTTATGGAAACTCTCTGAGTTTCTTTGGTTTCCTTGTTTGTAAAATGAGTAAAAATAATTACTGCCCAGCGTGGCGCTGTAATTGTTCACGGTAAACTTCTGGGCAGACGGCAAAACATTTACAACATTGAGATATCAAGCCAGGATCCAGCCATCAGTACAAGCACCACAGCGGGTGTGAAAGGAAGGAAAAGTGAATTTAGTCAATTCTCTCAGTCTTCAGGTGCATTTCTGTGGGTGTGAGCCTCCAATCCCTTCCCCCAGCCCAACTTTTCATACAAAACTTTATTTTATCTTCAACAATGGCCTTGGGTATGTGATGCATTCGCCATGGCCTGGGCCAACTTAATAAATCCAAGCAAGCAATTTAAGCAAGCTCCACCCTCCTGAAGGTAGGTCCCGCTGAGCCACAAATTGCCCAGAACTGAGCTGTGTGCCTCTCCAGGCTGCAGGCTCCACGCCTATCCTGATGGACTGTGCCTTTTCCTTCTCTCTGGGCCTTTCCGGGGCAACAGTCTATGCATATAGATTAAGATATAATTGGGTCAGCCAGGCTGAGTAATTCAGACCTAAGCAAGTCATTATCTCCCTGATCCACCCCAATCCTCCAAGAAGGGTCTCTCCCTAATGTGTGTGTGTGTGCCTGTGTGTGTGCCTGTGTGTGTACTCAAGGATGCTCGATTGCTAGATTTGGTAAAGAGCCTGAATAGGATGGGAACACATTAGTGATTTCTCAAGGCTGCAGGCTTAGGTTAGATTTGGAAGATACCCTTGTTGAGTCATGCATTAGCCCTATAGTTGCTAGATTATGGGGAGATCCAGGGGGATGGGGAGGGGCAGAAACAGTCTGAACAGTGAGGTAGGGAGGAGGAGGTTGGAGGGGATCTCTTAGGGGAAATGGGCCAGCAGCTGTTTGCCAACCAGTAGGAAAGCATTTCAATATATTAATACCTGCAATGTTCTTATGGGGACACACCAGCTGAATATGTGGGTTGGAGATACCTGGCATCATAGATATAGAACTTGAATAATTGGGCCAAGGTTAGTCTTTGCTGCTTTCTCTCTGACAATTGTCTTCTATTATCTGGGCTTCAAACTAAGGGGCCAGAAGAGCCACCTGGTTTCTATGGCAGCCACAAACCAGATGCTCTGCTGGGGCAAGCCTATATTTCATCAGTTAAAGTCTTGTTACTGGTTCCTTGCATTTGATTTTCTTACACTTTCTTTTCTTCCTTCATCAGCAATTGCCGTCAACAAAGCTTCCTTAAGCAGCTACTGTGTAGAAGGGGCTGGATTCCACAGGAGCTGGGGAGGACCAGAGGACCTCTGACTGCGAGGCGCAGGCAGATGTGGACAAAGGTGTTGCCTGGGGGAGTCCAGGAATCTTAAAGAGCTGGGCTAAGCTGAGAGCGGGCAGTGTTCCTCCAAGATCGCACCCAGCAGGGAGCCCCGAGACTGATAAGTAGGCAACAGATGGAACCTGGTAAGGAAATGCTCATCCCAGAAGAGACGTGTCTGTAGATTTACAGGTGAAATTTGATGAACCCAGCTTTCTTTACAAGTTTGAGTGTTTTTATGTTAACAACAGTCTAAAATCTCATATGGGAAGAAGATAAGCCACTTATAAATGGATTAAAGCAGACTGCAGGGTGGGAATGGGGTGGGATGGAGACCACCATGGAGGGGTCAGGCTGCAGTTTGGAAACCAGTGGTTAAAAAGGAGGCCCTCGCTGGCTGGCAGAGAGCTTCCTGTACAAATCACCTCATTCCAGCATCCCCGCAGGGAAGGCCTCAGACTCCTCTGACCCTGAGAGATTAACTCAGGTTACAGACTGACCAAAATGTCAACTACTTGGTTCTTTCTCTCTGAGAAGAATGGGCTGGACTATTTTTGTACTTTCCCTGTAGTTAAGTTACAAGGCAAACTAAATCATAATCAGAAACCATTTCGTTACTACATCCTTTTCCCATATAGCCATACAGATGTGGCAGGACCTAATCAAAACGAAGCAGTCTGAGGAGGAATTAAAGAAACCAACTCTTTAATTACACCAGGCTAAAACACCCTGAGAGTTCTATCTTCTAATCCAGTGGGCTGCAAACTTTATCGATTGTGTATCCCAATCAGCAAAAACTGTTGGAGCCCAAATCCCCAATATATGTATATTATTTAAGAATACAGAAGCTTCTATTGATACCTTGAATATTAAACATTAATAAAATTTAATTTAAAATGAAAGTAGGAGTTCTAGTATGTTCTTTCCTTATTATAGTAGAATATTTAAATAAGCTTTTAATGAAAGAAACAGATTCCACATCCATGGGATTACCTATGTGTGAGTCTTCTCTCAATAGAAAACCTCAACAACATTCTACCAAATGCAGTTTCATGCACGTTTGTCTCATGTGCTGCATTAAGATCATCACCCCCCTCACTGATGACTATCACCATTCCAATATGTGAAAACTGCTTCCAAAATCCCAGCTTTTTGTGTCTATTTGCTCTTTGATCTTATCAATCATTTAAGAGCATGCTGCCTTCCTTCAGAGTATAATATATTACAATAATTTAAAATATTGCAGACATCAAACATATAAGCAAGTCTTATCTGTCGAGTTCACATCGACAAAAGCTGGGACTAAACTCTCATTTCTTTTAAATATATATCTTATTTTATTTTAGAGAGGAAGGGAGGGAAAGGGCGAGAGAGAAACATCAATGATGAGAGAGAATCACTGATCCGATGCATCCTGAGCC